GAAGGAAAACTGAAAATAAAACGTGCACAGGTTTCGTGCACATCCAGGCCTCAAAAAACTCAGGAGCAGCAGTAGAGAGAAGCCAAGAAACACTTGTACTCCTCATTTCAACCTTCAATTTGGAGCCTCCACATCAAAACAAGACCTCAGCAAAAGGCAGGATCCTATTCCACAGTTGTACTCCTCACTTCAACTGAAGCCTCCGCATCAAAACAAAGCCTCAACATAAAAACATGATCTTAATTTCCACAGGGGATTATAGTGCTAACATCAGATCCTTGTGTTCTTTCAGGAGCTCACTATTAAGGATGCTGGATAGGATATCAATTTTGATTTCCCTAATCAACCGATCAGCACTCTTGCAAACTTGAGTGAAAATTCTAACATTTCTTTCCCTCCAAATACTGTAAACAGTAGCCGCCAAAGCCATTCTCTTGATTTTATTTTTGAAAACACTCCCTCTCAACCTGATATTATACCAGTCCAGGAGTAAGTTCCAGTCACACGACCTCCAATTAAACCTTAGCCAGTCCATAATACCATTCCAAACTTCACTTGAGAAGCAACAAGCAAAGAAAAGGTGATTTCTAGTTTCTGTGGCATTTACAGAACATAGGATGCAACAATTGCAGTTGATAATCCCCCTGCCCAGAAGCTTATCCTGTGTAAGTAATCTGTCAAGGACAGCTAGCCACAACACAAAACTGTGCTTAGGAAAGCTAATTCCTTCCCAAACAGTTTCCTTCCACACTACCTTAGCTGTAATAGGAAGCAGGGCATGATATAGAGCAGAAATTTTCAACTTAGAACTCTTTATACAAGAGCTAAAGAGATGAAGAAGACCTGAAACTCCACCACACATATTCAGCACATTATCTCTAATTCTGAGGATTTGTTTCCACATCCAAGAGTCACCAACTTTAGCCTCAACCTGTCAAATATTCCTATGTTTCAGATAAGTGCCATGAATCCACTTAATCCAAAGGAGCTCCTTGTTTGAATGAATAAACCATATGATCTTAAGGGCAGATGCAGTGTTCCATGTGACTGCTGAAAAGATTCCTAACCCTCCTTGATCCTTACTTCTACAGATAGCATCCCAAGAGACAAGAGAAGGTTTATTTGTATCAGCTTTTCCCCATAGAAAATCTCTACACAGTTTGTCAATTCCATAAAGAACTTTCTTAGGTAGGATATAACTTGAAGTCCAAAATAATTGAACCCCAAGGATGACACTTTTAATAATCTGGAGTCTCCCCGCATAGGATAAATGCCTATGAGATAGCCAATTTTGAAACTGACTGGAAATTTTGTTAAAAAGAGGTCTGCAGTCATCAAATGATAACCTCTTGCATACAAGAGGTACTCCCAAATATCTGATAGGGAGGTTGCCTTCAGAAAAGCCTAAGCAATTTTGAATAGAATCCTTGATAGAATCATCAACACCACCATAAAATACAGCACTTTTGCTGGGATTTACATCCAGACCAGTTACTGTACTGAAATGAGAGATACACTGCTTGAGCTTTTGCACTGAGTACAGATCCCCTTTGCTAAACAGCAGTAAGTCATCGGCAAAGATGAGATGGGTAATTTTTAGTTTGCCACATTTAGGATGGAATTTAAAATTCCTGTCAAGTTTCAAAAGATCAAGGCTCCTAGATAGGTATTCCATACCCAAGATGAACAAGTAAGGGGATAGTGGATCACCTTGCCGCAGCCCTCTTTCCCCTTTAAAATAGCCATGTAGAGAGCCATTTAGAGAGAGAGAGAGAGTATTTGGGAGTAGAAATACAGGACATAATCCAATTAGTCAGCATATTTGGAAACCCCAGACCAGAGAGCATTTCAGCTATAAACTTCCAACTAATGGTGTCAAAGGCTTTTCTGATGTCCATATTAATCATAATCCTTGGAGATATATGCTTCCTGCCATAGTTCTTTACAAGTTCATGAGCCAGAAGGATGTTATTTGATATCAGTCTACCTTTCACAAATGCACACTGAGCATCATTTATTATATAACCCATAACAGATTAGATTCTGTTTGCAAGAATTTTAGAGATAACCTTGTATATGCAGTTGCAACAGGATATAGGCCTGAAATCAGATGAGTAAGTTGGACATTGGACCTTAGGAACAAGAGTAATGGATGTAGTGTTGATTTCACCCAAAAGTTTTCCTGTTTTAAAAAATTCCTCAATGGCTAAAGATACCTCATCTCCAATAATTGGCCAAGCAGATTTATAGAAAGAAGCACTGAAACCATCAGGGCCAGGGGCCTTGTTATCTGCCATAGAGAAAACAGCACTTTTGATTTCATCCCTAGAAACAAGAGCTGAAAGAGGATCGGGGTGAAGGTGGAGGAAGTGAGGAAGTATACGAGTACTGCACTCTCTCTAGTCAACCGGATGAATTAATCAGCGTGTTTTTTTGCTTGTTTCGCGTGTTAATTTTGGTATTTATTATGAGAGTGTTTTGTGTAAAAAAAAAATGTTAGTACTGAGATGTATGGTTTTTGTGTGACATAAAAGTTGTGGTTTTTGATCTATATCTCAGTGTAGTACTGAACTAGTGACATCCCTCGGTGATTTGGTTCATGTCAATGGTGGTCATAAAAATTTCATACATCTTGTGTTTAGGATCAGTCTGTAGTTGTCTCGTATATAGTTGTTATTTTTTTTTTGGTAAATGAAAATTTTTATTCATCACCAATATGTAAAATTTGTACATCAAGAATAACCTCACATATGTGAGTTAACAACAAAAATATAGCAAAACTATATACAAGCCTCCTCAAAAGAAGAGAAGGAAAACTGAAAACGTGCACATGGTTCGTGCACATCCAGGCCTCAAAAAACTCAGGAGCAGCAGTAGAGAGAAGCCAAGAAACACTTGTACTCCTCATTTCAACCTTCAATTTGGAGCCTCCACATCAAAACAAGACCTCAGCAAAAGGCAGGATCCTATTCCACAGTTGTACTCCTCACTTCAACTGAAGCCTCCGCATCAAAACAAAGCCTCAACATAAAACAGGATCTTAATTTCCACAGGGGATTATAGTGCTAACATCAGATCCTTGTGTTCTTTCAGGAGCTCACTATTAAGGATGCTGGATAGGATATCAATTTTGATTTCCCTAATCAACCGATCAGCACCCTTGCAAACTTGAGTGAAAATTCTAACATTTCTTTCCCTCCAAATACTGTAAACAGTAGCCGCCAAAGCCATTCTCTTGATTTTATTTTTGAAAACACTCCCTCTCAACCTGATATTATACCAGTCCAGGAGTAAGTTCCAGTCACACGACCTCCAATTAAACCTTAGCCAGTCCATAATACCATTCCAAACTTCACTTGAGAAGCAACAAGCAAAGAAAAGGTGATTTCTAGTTTCTGTGGCATTTACAGAACATAGGATGCAACAATTGCAGTTGATAATCCCCCTGCCCAGAAGCTTATCCTGTGTAAGTAATCTGTCAAGGACAGCTAGCCACAACACAAAACTGTGCTTAGGAAAGCTAATTCCTTCCCAAACAGTTTCCTTCCACACTACCTTAGCTGTAATAGGAAGCAGGGCATGATATAGAGCAGAAATTTTCAACTTAGAACTCTTTATACAAGAGCTAAAGAGATGAAGAAGACCTGAAACTCCACCACACATATTCAGCACATTATCTCTAATTCTGAGGATTTGTTTCCACATCCAAGAGTCACCAACTTTAGCCTCAACCTGTCAAATATTCCTATGTTTCAGATAAGTGCCATGAATCCACTTAATCCAAAGGAGCTCCTTGTTTGAATGAATAAACCATATGATCTTAAGGGCAGATGCAGTGTTCCATGTGACTGCTGAAAAGATTCCTAACCCTCCTTGATCCTTACTTCTACAGATAGCATCCCAAGAGACAAGAGAAGGTTTATTTGTATCAGCTTTTCCCCATAGAAAATCTCTACACAGTTTGTCAATTCCATAAAGAACTTTCTTAGGTAGGATATAACTTGAAGTCCAAAATAATTGAACCCCAAGGATGACACTTTTAATAATCTGGAGTCTCCCCGCATAGGATAAATGCCTATGAGATAGCCAATTTTGAAACTGACTGGAAATTTTGTTAAAAAGAGGTCTGCAGTCATCAAATGATAACCTCTTGCATACAAGCGGTACACTGCATATAGTTGTTATTTTGTTTAAGCTCTAAGAACATCTTAAAAGTCCATCTAATCGATTACACTGCACCTCTCAAATTATGAGAAGATTGAGGATTATATTTTTATATTCTAATATGTTTTAGAGGTTGGACTTTTTTTTAACGGACTGAAATTTGAGTCATTACCATAAAAATTATAAATTTAGACATGGATTAGAATGTCTTTGTTAAGTAACCTTAGATTGTTACAGGGCACACTAAAAAGAAAAAGCAAATTGAGTGCTACAACTTGAGCAGGAAAGTATTGTTGATCCTGTGGCTGGTTTGGCTCTGTATCCTGACAAACATGCACAACTGGGAAAATATGCACAAAATGTTTCTGGTCCTGTTCAGGCAGGGAGCTCGAATATTCAACATGAGAATGACAACAGATTTAAACAATTGGCTAGTACTCCTATTGTCAACACTTCTGGGTTTACTAATGTCACTAGATCTAGTGCTGCAAAAAGAACTGATATGAATGTATCTCACACATCAATACATGTATCACATTTCTCTATCCTTGATCATCAGATATTTGATTTAGACCCCTCCAATTCTGATAGGGGGAGCATCTCTATAAATGCATTTGGCTATATGGAATATTAGAGGGTTTAACTTACCCTCTAAACATGGGATAGTGAAAAAATTTATTCAGGAGTATAAAATATCTTTCTTAGCTCTCTGAGAAACAAAAGTAGCTGGAGGGAAATTGCAGATTATTGGCAATAAAGTTGCAAAAGATTGGAAGTGGATATCTAATATACATATGGCAGATAAAGCTAGAATATAGATTCTTTGGGATAGTGAAATGCTTTCAGTTCAAGAGGTCAAAACTTCTGATCAATATATTACTTGTGAAGTGAAATCCAAGGATGGGAAATTGTCATGCTTAATCACTGCAGTTTATGCTCTGAACCATAATGTTGGCAGAAAAGCTCTATGGGAGGAATTGTTATCATTCAAAAAGAATGTGGTTTGCCCCTGGTTGATGGGTGAGGATTTCAATGCTATTATTAGTAGTGATGAGAAAATTGGAGGTTTCCAAGTAACTGATACTGATACTGATGATTTTCAAAGTTTTGTTACAGCTAGTCAATTGAATCACATAAAAACTACAGGGTGCTTTTTCACTTGGAGTAACAAACAAAATGCAGATACAAGAGTCTGGAGTAGACTTGACAGGACTTTGGTAAATGAGAATTGGATTCATAATTACACTACAAGTCAAGTGGAGTATTTGATGCCTCTTTGTTCTGATCATTCCCCAAGTCTTATGACTATTGGAGATGAAAATTTTGATGGAAAGAAACCTTTCAAATTCTTTAGTATGTGGTCTAAACACCCTGATTTCCCAGACGTGGTGAGGTCTGTCTGGAGCCAAAATGTTAGGGGATACAACATGTACAAGTTTTATTCTAAACTTAGAAATCTTAAACATGTTCTCAAAGATTTGAATAAGAAGAACTTTATGGATATCAACCAGCAAGTGTTAAGAGCTAAATCTGATTTATGCAGTATTCAAGAGAAACCGAGTTCTGATCTTTTCAATCCAGATTTGATATCAAAGGAAAAGGATTGTATAAAGAAATATGCCAAATTACTGGAATGTGAAAATTCTTTCTACAGACAAAAAGCTAACATTAAATGGGGTTTGCATGCTGACAAGGGATCACAATTTTTCCACTCAATTATGAAATCCAAGAGACACCAAAATAGAGTTTTATCACTGTATACTAAAAATGGCACAAGAATTACTGAATTGCCTGAGATTACATCAGAATTTGTTCAGTATTACAAGAACCTTCTGGGCAATGCTAAGGCCACTATTGCTGTTGATCCCAGGGTTATCTCTAATGGTCGTATCTTAACTTCTATCCACCGAAGGGAGTTGAGTTCCCCTGTTTCTAGGGATGAGATTAAGCAAGCTTTATTCTCAATGTCTGATAGTAAGGCTCCTGGTCCTGATGGTTTTAATGGTTTTTTCTTCAAGGCTGCTTGGAATGTCATTAATGAGGATCTATTTCTGGCGGTTGAAGAATTTTTCGATTCAGGTAAGCTTCTAGGCACCTTCAACACTGCATCTATTACCTTAGTGCCCAAGACTCTTAACCCAAGTTCATCTACTGATTTTAGACCTATATCCTCCTGCAATGTTATATACAAAATCATCTCAAAAATTATTGCTAGCAGGATGCAAAAAGTTATGGGTTATATAGTCAATGATGCGCAAAGTGCATTTGTGAAGGGGAGGCTTATATTCAGTAACTTTTTGTTAGCCCATGAACTCATAAAGCAATATGGGAGAAAAAATAACTCCCTAGAGCAATTCTGAATGTTGATATAAGGAAATCATTTGACACTATTAGCTGGGAGTTTATCAGAGCCATATTGATTGGTCCGGGTTTTCCTAACATTATGGTTTGCTAGATCATGGAATGTATTTCCACACCAAAATTGTCATTAGCACTTATTGGTGGTTTATATGGTTATTTTCATGGTACAAGTCCGGGTTTTCCTAACATTATGGTTTGCTAGATCATGGAATGTATTTCCACACCAAAGTTGTCATTGGCACTTATTGGTGGTTTATATGGTTATTTCATGGTACAAGAGGATTAAGACAAGGGGATCCTCTTTCCCCCTATCCTTTTGTCATTGGGATAGAATCTTTATCAAGGAAGCTTAATACTCTGAAGAATGAAAGGTAGTTAAATTTCACCCTAAGTGCTCAAGGTTGAAGATAACTCATCTTATATTTGCTGATGATTTACTGATGTTTTGCAAAGCTGACATGAATTCTATAATGAAAATCTATATAAATGCCTACTGGAGTTTGGACTAGCTTCAGGTCTGGAAGTTAATTTAGCAAATGCTCTGTTTATTTGAGTGGTATTGATGATAGGCTTAAAGCTCAGATTTGCAACTACTTGAAATTCCCAGAGGGTATGCTACTAATGAAATATCTTGGGTTACCACTGAGTGCCAAAAGGCTTTCTTATCTTGAATGCTCAAGCCTGCTTGTAAATATTAATAACCAGTTTCAGCTTTGGCAACAAAATAGGAAACCATCTAATGCTGATAGGCTTGAGTTGATCAAGTCTGTAATTCTGGGTATTCAAACATTTTGGATTAGCAACTACATCTTGCCGATTAGAGTTCTGGAGAAAATTGACAGGATGTGCTCTGATTTCCTATGCGATCATAAATTCCACTTGGTTGCCTGGAATTCTATCTGCCAAGGGAAGAAACAAGGATGACTGGGGTTTTTTTTCCACAAAGTCATGGAACTATGCAGCTGCCACAAAGCTTCTTTGGATGATTCACCTAAAAAAACTTACTATGGATTAAGTGGATACATGGTAATTATTTGCAGAATCAAAATGTCTGGGAGGTTCAATCTAAGGTGAATGATTCATGGATGTGGAAACAATTTCTTAAAGTGAGGGATATGTTGATAAACAAGTTTGGAAACATTGATAATGTGAAGAATGCCATTGACGTATGCTATTCTAATGGCAAAGTCCAACTTTCTACAGTGTATATGATCTTAATTCAGTCAGCTTCCATGGTCAGCTGGTTTGATACAGTTTGGGATGACTTTCTTTATCCAAAGCATTCCTTTATTTTGTGGCTAGTGTTTACGGAAAAAGTTGCTGTATTCATTGCTGCATTCATTACAACTTCAATCGTTACAATGAAATAAAAAGATAGCCTTTTTATAAGACCGGTACACAATGAAAACAAAATAGATACAACTCTTTTCAAACAAACGCAAGATCTGTTCATCATCTCTTGCTTGCGTGGGTCTTTTGCCTGTGACGGGGATGTTGATATCCGTGGACCACCGGGGCACTCAGATCTGGTCTGAGAAAATCGGGCAGAGTTTCGTCTATCCGCGAAGGGATATGGAAACAGAACCCCGTCGATCCGCGTGAGATCTCAGAGGTGTAAAGCTTATGTCTCGGCTAAAACGAGGCACTAGCTCTCCTTTGTATCACCGCTAAGGGCAACACTAAGGGAAAAGAAGGTGGGGAATGAAGAAGAAGACTCCTTTGCTGCAGAAGGCTCGCTCACTCCTCGATCCGGCAGGGCTTCGCCGCTCTCTTAGAAAACCCCGACTCCTTCCTCCGGCAGGGCTTCGCCGCTCCTCTCTGGAATTTCAGATCTCAAAGGCTAGAGCTCTAGATCTGAAATTTCTCTCCCAAAACCAAGGCCAAGAGAATGGAGGCCCTAGGGGCCTATTTATAGGAAAACAAAGGGGGGGTAGGGGCTGGTTGAGGACACCCCCTAGGGGGGTGTCTCGGCTCCAAAACCGAGACACCCCTTGGGGTGTCTCGGCCATGGCCGAGACACCCCCCATGGGGTGTCTCGGCCAAGGCCGAGACACCCCCTTGGGGGTGTCTCGGCCAAGGCCGAGACACCCCTTGGGGTGTCTCGGCCTGGCCGAGACACCTGGGGTGTCTTGGCTTCGCCAAGACACCCTTCGGGTGTTTCGTCCTGGCCGGGATGCCCCCGGGTGTCTCAGTCTGGTCCGAGGCCTTCCGGGTGTGTTTGCCGTTGATTCGCCGTCCCAACTCGGATTTGAGTGATTTCGGATGCGTTGGAATCTTGACGACGAGCTCTGTAGGCCCCGATGGTTGGATTATCAGTGGGGTGATCGGGACACGGCGGGTGTTGGTCCAATTGCGGTGATCGCGGGGTTTTCGGTCAACCCGTATCCCCGTTGTTCTGAGATTCTGTCGGCTCACGTAGTCCGTCGGTTCGCTTCAGGCGCTTACCGACGTCAATTGGACTCTTGTGAACCGGAGTGGGGACCTATCGGCAATTTTTGATGCCTACAGATACCCCCTCCAAAGTGTTTCGGACTCGTTTCTTTTATAGAAGAGACCGGAATACTTTGGATATGATTGGTCCAGCCTTCAGTCGGCCTAAGGGACCTGTGGTTTGCTTCAACTCTCGGCTCCTTCGATCTTCGGTTTATCCGGTGCTTTGTCGGATAACCGAGATTGTTCCGGCGCTGCGTTTATCGCCTGGCCGTCGTTGGAGTCTCGAGTTTACAGCTGGTGAGTTGAGTTTGGCTCGTGTCATTGAGTTGACTTTTGAACTTGCTAACCCTGTCACATCGTGTTGACATGGGGCTCCGAATCACTGGGGGTTGACTTTTTGTTGCAACGCGCTGTCCGGCGTTGACCTAAGGTTACGCGTTGACCGGCGCCCACCTTAGGGTTTTGAACCGCGTGGGTTGGCTTTTGTCGTCACGTGTTGACTTTCGTCGTCACGTGTTGACTTTTGTCGCAACGCGCTGTCCGGCGTTGACCTAAGGTTACGCGTTGACCGGCGCCCACCTTAGGGTTTTGAACCGCGTGGGTTGGCTTTTGTCGTCACGTGTTGACTTTCGTCGTCACGTGTTGACTTTTGTCGCAACGCGCTGTCCGGCGTTGACCTAAGGTTACGCGTTGACCGGCGTCCACCTTAGTGTTTTGAACCGCGTAGGTTGGCTTTTGTCGTCACGTGTTGACTTTCGTCGTCACGTGTTGACTTTTGACGCAACGCGCTGTCCGGCGTTGACCCAAGGTTACGCGTTGCTTTGGAGTATTGAGGAACAGTTTATACTCTTGTACTCTTTGGAGTATTGAGGAACAGTTTATACTCTTGTACTCTTTGGAGTATTGAGGAACAGTTTATACTCTTGTACTCTTTGGAGTATTGAGGAACAGTTTATACTCTTGTACTCTTTGGAGTATTGAGGAACAGTTTATACTCTTGTACTCTTTGGAGTATTGAGGAACAGTTTATACTCTTGTACTCTTTGGAGTATTGAGGAACAGTTTATACTCTTGTACTCTTTGGAGTATTGAGGAACAGTTTATACTCTTGTACTCTTTGGAGTATTGAGGAACAGTTTATACTCTTGTACTCTTTGGAGTATTGAGGAACAGTTTATACTCTTGTACTCTTTGGAGTATTGAGGAACAGTTTATACTCTTGTACTCTTTGGAGTATTGAGGAACAGTTTATACTCTTGTACTCTTTGGAGTATTGAGGAACAGTTTATACTCTTGTACTCTTTGGAGTATTGAGGAACAGTTTATACTCTTGTACTCTTTGGAGTATTGAGGAACAGTTTATACTCTTGTACTCTTTGGAGTATTGAGGAACAGTTTATACTCTTGTACTCTTTGGAGTATTGAGGAACAGTTTATACTCTTGTACTCTTTGGAGTATTGAGGAACAGTTTATACTCTTGTACTCTTTGGAGTATTGAGGAACAGTTTATACTCTTGTACTCTTTGGAGTATTGAGGAACAGTTTATACTCTTGTACTCTTTGGAGTATTGAGGAACAGTTTATACTCTTGTACTCTTTGGAGTATTGAGGAACAGTTTATACTCTTGTACTCTTTGGAGTATTGAGGAACAGTTTATACTCTTGTACTCTTTGGAGTATTGAGGAACAGTTTATACTCTTGTACTCTTTGGAGTATTGAGGAACAGTTTATACTCTTGTACTCTTTGGAGTATTGAGGAACAGTTTATACTCTTGTACTCTTTGGAGTATTGAGGAACAGTTTATACTCTTGTACTCTTTGGAGTATTGAGGAACAGTTTATACTCTTGTACTCTTTGGAGTATTGAGGAACAGTTTATACTCTTGTACTCTTTGGAGTATTGAGGAACAGTTTATACTCTTGTACTCTTTGGAGTATTGAGGAACAGTTTATACTCTTGTACTCTTTGGAGTATTGAGGAACAGTTTATACTCTTGTACTCTTTGGAGTATTGAGGAACAGTTTATACTCTTGTACTCTTTGGAGTATTGAGGAACAGTTTATACTCTTGTACTCTTTGGAGTATTGAGGAACAGTTTATACTCTTGTACTCTTTGGAGTATTGAGGAACAGTTTATACTCTTGTACTCTTTGGAGTATTGAGGAACAGTTTATACTCTTGTACTCTTTGGAGTATTGAGGAACAGTTTATACTCTTGTACTCTTTGGAGTATTGAGGAACAGTTTATACTCTTGTACTCTTTGGAGTATTGAGGAACAGTTTATACTCTTGTACTCTTTGGAGTATTGAGGAACAGTTTATACTCTTGTACTCTTTGGAGTATTGAGGAACAGTTTATACTCTTGTACTCTTTGGAGTATTGAGGAACAGTTTATACTCTTGTACTCTTTGGAGTATTGAGGAACAGTTTATACTCTTGTACTCTTTGGAGTATTGAGGAACAGTTTATACTCTTGTACTCTTTGGAGTATTGAGGAACAGTTTATACTCTTGTACTCTTTGGAGTATTGAGGAACAGTTTATACTCTTGTACTCTTTGGAG